CTAGATGTTGGGCACAAATCCTTCACTCCTCAGGGAGAAGCTGGGAGTTGTGAGTTTCCTCCTGATTGTATGCTGCTGTTCTGGGGGTGGGGGAGGTTTACGGCAAGAGTGTGTCTCAGCCTTTCCCACCCATATCAATGTGGGTATTTTGTCATTTAACCAATGTATATGAATTGCTCAACTAGTCTCTGGATTTGTTTCAGAGGGAATTGCTCCACGTGTGGCTGTAGATTCACTGTGTCCATGGGAGAAGGGAAGTTCAGGATCCTCCTATATCACCATCTTGGACTGGAACTCTCTCCATTCTTTTTGAAACTTGTATTATGATGTTGTTAGAATTCCTTGATTGACAGCCTAATATCCTTTTCTACTGTTTTCCATCACTTTTCCATTTGTACTAACTACTTGTTGAGGGTATGACCTTAATATTCCAATTCATCTATGGATTATTCATTTCTATAATCATATTTTTAATTTCCAAGGGTCTTTCTTATTCTCTGATTGTATGTAATGTTGTTCTTTTTTCATAAGTGCCATATCTTTTCTTATATCTTTTAGATATTACTAATAATAGTGGTAGAGGACCTGTTAGATATCCTGCTTATCTGCTTTCATGATGTCATCAACTTTTCCCTCACAGGACCTAGTTCAATAGAGATTTTACATTTATCTTTGTAATTTTTGCTAAATGTTCATCTCCCTCATAATAGTGCAAGCTCCATATAGGCAGCATTTTACTTTCATTCTTCATCATGTTACTGCCCAAAAATGGGTTCATCTGCCTGCCAAAAGACACATCAATAGTCAAGAGGTAAGGTGGGAGGAGAAAAAGGACTTTTTATTAGAGCTTGCTAGCAAGAGGGAAGATGGCCAACTTTATTACCACACAAAAGGAACAACCTACTTGCTTTGAGACAAAAGCCAATGTCATGAGCCAAGTTGGTGGAAAAGAAACGGCAGTTTATTACAGCTTGCTAGCAAGGGGAAAGACGGCCGACTAATGTCTCAAAGAATCATCTTAAGGGGGTACAAAATCTTACAGCAGTTATATAGGCCGGTGGGTTATAGGGGAGGAGGTTAGAAATGTTGACCTTCTGGTGTTACAGACTGGGAGTGCCACGCCAGATCTTTCAGTTTTCATTTATGATGGCTATCAGCATAGACTCTCTGTTCGGGGGTCATCACATTCCTACCATTCCTTACCATTTCTTCTTCCACATTCTCATTTTTGTTCCCATTTGTTTGTTCATAATATATTTGATATTTGCATTTCTTCTTTTCCAAATGTTTTCTAATAGTCTTTAATCACTTTCTAATTGAGATGTAGGCATTTAAATATGCTGAATATAAGAAAGAAGAAAAAGCAGCCTCTGATCCCAGAGAGTTCGCCTGACGCTTACAGCTAGACCTCAGTGTTGTCTAAAGCTGGCCTGGTGCTCACAGCTAGGCCATGTTATTCTCCTCTTTGACATAACACATCTCACAAAACACCAATATCAGACAAGGACACACTGAGACCGTGATATAGTGACACAAAACAAGATTACTACATAATTTTATCTAAGCACAGAGTAAAACAAGGCACTGTGCAACTCACAAAGTACCAAACATCTCCCTTTGCTGGGTTATATGAGTTATATGGCTGCTTCTTTATCAATTACTGCTTTATCCTTGCTCTAGTTTGCCCTCCCTATAGATAAGATTGATTAAGACACAGAATTGACCTGGCTTCCTGACAATATCCAATATAGAGTGAACTCCTGCTTCCTTAGTCCTCCCCAAAATCACCCAACCAAAGCCCAAATGCTATAATAATACATCCTTTCTAAAACCCTTATACTAAGAGGCTCTATGGTTCCCCATGGTGTGCATTCTCCCTCGCTGCAACAAGTAATAAATGCAATGTGTTCAGCCACAGGTGTGCTCCTGGTGGTCTTTGGCTGAAGGACATTGACACATGCTAGCCTTTTGTCTGTCAATTTTTCATGTGTCTTTGAGTTTGATTATGGGATACATTTGTATATTTGTGGGTTTATGGTTGCCATAGAGAAGTTTTAGTTTTTTTCTTTATGGTTTTTCACCTTTGGGTCATATTTAGAGAATTCTTCATTCCACAACTGTAAAAATTTCAGGGATATTTTCATCTAGGTAGAGATGATGAGGAGAGAGGGTTCATGGGTAAAGGGAAACAGAGAGAACAGTCTGAATTTTGGAGGAAAGTATGAATAAAAGCAATAGGTAAAGAATTCTAAGGTAGTAGAATTCTGAGGTGTGCATCTTTTGCTTTAAAATTTTACAAGTATGTCCACAGGGCCTGCAAGGTATTTGATATATGTTGTTTTCAATAAAAACTTTCTCTTGGGCTAAGTGAAGACTTATGTCCCTGCTGATGTTTACCACCTTAATGAAAACAACGCCAAGAGTCCCAATATGATATACACAAGGATTAGCTCCAGTGATGGGCATTTTTGAACACTATGTCCTTGAGGTGATAAATCATGTTTTGGTTAATGTCTGTACACTCCAGCTGTTAAATTACATATTAATTAAATTTCTTGGGCATGTTCTATTTTAAGGATATGTCTAAGACCCACATAGACAAATCTATGGCTGCCATATGAAGATAATTTTAATGTACTTCAGTGTACGAGTCACACAGTACCTTTTCGAGGTCGGATACTGAAAACTAAAACATTCTAAATATGCTCTGTCAAATATGGTAGCTACTAGTCATACATAGCTATTTAAATTTAAATTGAATAAAACCAAAAATTCATTTTCTCTGTGGCACTACCCACATTTCAAATGCTCAATAATCATGTGTAGCTAGTGGCTACCATATTAGACAGTGCAGATATGGAACAATTTCTTCATCAGAGAAAGTTCTATTGAACAGCACTGTTATTGATGCTTTGTGGGCCTCAACTCGGCATTAGACTCACTTAAAATAAAAGGGCCAATATTATTTCTCATACAAATTGTATCAGATGTCTGTCTGCGATATGGATAAATATTAAGCTGGTTCGTGAACATAACCAAAATGGGTCATGAATGAATCTCTATCTGGTGCCTTCAGCCACAAACTGTTCCCAGTTCTAAAGGGGAAACACCTGTTCTTCCACCTCCATTCCCAGACTGAGGACATTCTCTGGCATCAAATTTCCAGAGGATGAGTTCTGTTCTAGAAGAGTCCAAGGCGAGAGCCCTAAGCAAAGTTTTGGGAGGCAAAGAGTCCAGCTCAGGGAGAGGGATTTGGGGAAGTGAAGAGGAGGTGGGGGCCAATTTGGAGAGTCTCTCTGGTTTACTCAGCACAGTAGTTCTCAAAGTGTGGTCTGTGGAACCCTTCAACTCACTGAGACCCTTTCGTGGGATCCACGAGATCAAAACTATTTTCGTAACATTACTAAGAATTTATTTACCTTTTTACACTGTGTTGACATTTGTACTGAGGTAAAACTTAGCAGGAATGGAGCCTGTCTGAGCAAATAGCAATAGTAGTTATTATATTCTTCACCACCACTTAATTGCAGGGGGGAAAAAAGCAAGTTTCACTTAAAAATATCACGGTTGAAGCATTAAAAATTAACTTGATTAAATCACCATTCTCGAGTCCATATTTTAGAATATCTGATAGGATAACACGGGAAGTTCACATGAAGCACTTCTGCTACATTCCAATGTCCTGTGTCTCAAGGAAAATAATTTGTCTGAGCTGAGCTAGCCTCCTTTTCATAGAATACCATTTTTACTTGAAAGAATGAATGACAGAGAAACTATGATTATTTACACTCAGTTATTTGACATACACTTTCTCAAAAACAAATGTGAACTTCTCCCTTCAAGAAAATCAACTGACAGTATTTGTTGCCAATGATAAAATGTAAGCTCTCATAAGAAAAGTTTGGAAAACTTGTATTCACCATTGTAATCTTGACAACTTCTCAGTACTGACAAACTTTTCTAGCGGGATCTGTGGTAATATTAACAAATGTGATTATATGATAATTTTCATTAAATGTGTCAACATTAGAAGATCAATATAACCTGGTGAAACAACGCATTACTTAAAAAAATCATGTATTAGTTCAAGATTCATTCAATGCATGAGATAGACTTATGGATTTGAATGTAACAGATTTGGAAATATTCAGTGACAGTGTTTCAGGTTCTGCATTGCAAAAAACCTTTAAGAAACTACTACTTGTGTAGTTTTAGTGTAGTATCAAAGATGAATAACCACGATTATCTGAAACCTTTATTCAAAATACTCCTCCTACATATTTGTGTGAGGCTGGATTATTTTCATATACTTCGACGAAAAGAGTTTAAATGTAGAAACAGCCATGCAAATTCAGCAGTCTCCTAACAAGAAAAACAAGACTTGCAGAAAAGCAGAATGTAAAAAGATCCACTCTTCTCATGATGCTGTTTAATTCTGGAAAGTAGTAATTCTCCACAAAAATATATTATTTGTTACCATGTAATAGGTTATTAACATTATTCTAAACGAATTAAGTGTACTTTTAAAAAGGTTTCAATACCTAATATGGTAAATACAGACAAATATAACCCACACAAAATTATCTTTGAGGTCCTAACTAATTTATAAGCGTGTACAGAGATCTTGAAACCAAAAGTTTGTAAATCACTGACTCAGGCCTGGGCAAAGACTGAGGGAGACAGTGTGACAAAGAGCTCTCGGTGCAGCAGGAGAGGGGTCAGGGCAAAGTCTCAAGTCCCTGGCCATGGCTTCAGGGTCTCAGGCCCGAGGGTGGTGTCTGGGGCGGGTGTTGGGGAGTCCCCACCTCCCTGAGTTTCACTTCTCCCTCTCACAACCTGTGTCAGGTTCTCCTGGAGACTCACGACGTGGCCCCGGTTCTCACTCCCATTGCGTGTCCGGTTTCTAGAGCAGCCAATCAGCGTCTCCGCGGTTCCCGGGTGTAAAGTGCACTGAGACGGGCCAGGTCCTGGCGCCCCAACCTTCCTTCTGCTCCTCTCAGGGGTCCTGACCCTGACCGAGACCTGGGCGGGTGAGTGCCGGGTCGGGAGGAAACGGCCACCGTCGGGGGCGGTGCGAGGGGACCGCGCGGCGGGGGCGCAGGACCCCCGGGGAAGGCGCGTCTGCGCCCCCGGACCCGCCCCCACATCGGCCCCTCCCCGCCCTGATTCTCCACTCCTCACTCACCTCCCTCTCCGTCTCGCCGCCCCTTTTCCGTCTCACAGTCCCCTCCCCGCTACCTCCCCTCCGGGCCCCATTAATCTCCGACCCGGGAAGAGCCGGGCAGAATTCGCTCCGGTTTTGCCTTCAATTTAGGCGGAAACAGACTCTGACCAATCACCGCCGGTCTGTCTCGCGCGGGAGTGAGGAAAGTGGGCGGGGATGAGCGGGAGGACGGGGTTGAGTGGGCGGGGCTGACCGCGGGGGCGGGGCTCGGGGCTTTGTGGATGCGCCTTGGGACCCGACGGGCGCCTCCTCCGCAGGTACAGTCAGTTCACCTACGACGGCGCCGATTACATCGCCCTGAACGAGGACCTGCGCTCCTGGACCGCGGCGGACACGGCGGCTCAGATCACCCGGCGCAAGTGGGAGGCGGAAGGTGAGGCGGCGGACTGGAGGAACTACCTGGAGGGCGAGTGTGTGAAGTGGCTCCTCAGATACCTGGAGAACGGGAGGGAGACGCTGCAGCGCGCATGTATGTTGGGCCGTGAGGCTGCTCTGATCTCTCCTCCAGCTGGGGCTGGCTTCCCACAAGGAGGGAAGGAAAATAGAATCGAAGCTAGAATGCCGCCCGTTCCTCTGGTCCAGAGGGAGAAGAGCCCCCCTGGGTTTCTAGATTACTTACCAAAGGGTGACTCTGAGGGCCCTTCTCTCAGGACAATTAAGAGATCCAGTCTCCCCGGGGATGGAGGGTAGACATCCCTGAAGTAATTGATCCGCTAGTTGTCTCCTTGACCCCAGCAGCAGTCTTGGGCACAGGGGAAAACTTTCTCTCTCTCAGGCCCTTTCTTTGCTGTCTGGAAGTCTGACTCCAACTTTTCTGAGTAACTCGGCCTCCACCCAGGTCAGGATCAGAAATCCTGTTCTCTCCCTCAGAAACCTGGAGCCTCCTACCCCGAGCTGTCTCACCCTGATTTTGGAGCTTTACCAAGAATAGGAGATTATCCCAGATCCCTGACTCCAGGTTGGAGTCTGGATTTTACACTTTCTCCCTCCACCCTAATTGTCCTGTCCATTCTCGGGGTGGTCACATGAGTGCTGCTGGAATATCCCATGAGGGATGCAAAGTGTCTGAATTTTCTGATACTTCCTCTCAGATACCCCCCAAAACATACCTGACCCAGCACCCCATCTCTGACTGTGAGGTCACCCTGAGGTGCTGGGCTCTGGCCTTCTACCGTGCAGAGATCACCCTGACCTGGCAGCGTGATGAGGAGGACCAGACCCAGGACACAGAGCTTGTGGACACCAGGCCTGTGGGGGATGGAACCTTCCAGAAGTGGACAGCTGTGGTGGTGCCTTGTCAAAAAGAACAGAGATACATCTGTCCAGTGCAGCATGAGTGACTGTCCAAGCCTATCACCCTGAGATGGGGTTAGAAGGGGGATGAGAGGACAGAGCCTCTTCTCAGACAACAAAGCAGGAGCCCTTCTGGAGACCTTTTAGTGGTATCAGAGCTGAGGCCTGGGGGTCAGGGCCCCTTAGCCTCATTTCCTCCCTAGAGCCGCCTCCTCAGTCTACCATCCCCATCATGAGAATTGTTGCTGATCTGGTTCTCCTTGGAGCGATGGTCACTGAGCTGTGACCTGGAGGAAGAAGAGCTGAGGTAGGGAGGGGCTGGGGGGTCTATTTTCTTGTACAACTAGGGAGATTTCAGGACCCAGATAGGAGTTTGCCCATCTCCTTTCTTGTTACTGAGAGGCACCATCCACACACATGCTATTATTTTATTATTATGTTTTTATTGATGTTTTAATAGTTTTTAACATTGTGAAATTTTGGGTTGTACATTTTTGTTTGTCCATCAGCATATATATGTCTCCCTTCACCCTTTGTGCCCACCCTCCACCCCCATTGCCCCTGGTAACCACAATACAGTTTTCTCTGTCCATGTATTGGTTTGTATTCCACATATGAGTGAGATCATACAGTGTTTGTCTTTCTCTTTCTGGCTTA